ATAATTGATCCTTTGTTACGGTTCTGTTCTTTTTAACAGGTTGATAATATGTTCAATCAATTAAGTTGTCTGAAAATTTTGAAATACTTGTCAAACTATGTGTTTTAATCGATTGAAATTATGAAATAATCTGTTGATTTCCTGATTCTCAATCTCTGTTCATGATTTATTGCCAGATTAATCGATTAAATAAGTTTTTAATCGATTTATTTCAATAACTCTGTAGCTCTGCATGTTTTTCTTTTTTGAATTAATCGATTAAATCTTCGATTCAATCGATTTATTCTACTTTTGTTAATATGCGTCTATATCATTAATTGAAAATCAATTGATTTTATGGAAAATCATTTGGTTAATTTTTTCTAGGGCTAGTAGTGTATGCGTTGCCTCTAATTATTTACTGCAGATTGAGTTAAGTGCCTTTGCAACTACAAACAACTTCAGCTACTCTCTTAAATGTAATGGTTATCTAATAAAAGCTGAAAAACTGTGATTGGAAATCAAATGTGAAGAAGTACAGGTAATCGAGTGTTACAGTAACCATTCTCTCTCTCTCTCTCTCTCTCTATCTTTTCCATCTCTGACACACGGAGCAGAACTGAGGTAATTTACTAAAAGACGAAATTGACTATTCAAAGTAGATGAAGGGTCCGGTTTCTCTCATTCCTTTTAGTATGCAATAGTTGATTCGAAAATCTTGTACTTCTTCTTGGAAAAATATTCTCTCTTCTCTGTATTCGGTTCATCTCTCAAACAACATGTTCAAGCGCACCAAATCTGGATGGAGGAAGTTTAGTAGAGGAGAATCCTCAACTACTGTCCAAGAAACATCAGGAGGAGGGCGCATTGAAACCTGGTTCAATGGGAATCAAGAAAAGATGGGGTTATTCATTCACGAAATGAGCAGAAAACAGATTAATATTCCCAAGGTTCTGAAATTCTCGTGGTTGGACGCTGAAGGGTTCAAAGGGGTTCGAAAGCTGCTACAACACCAGAAACTTTAGAAGTTCCTTGAGCTCAATGGTAGAATCTATCCTGACCTTATCAAAGTTTTCTTTACTAATATTTCATTTGAAGGTTCTACACTCAAAACTCAAGTTAAAGGAGGGGAAATTGAGATTACTCCCACTGTTTGGAAAAATGTTGCTGGACTCAAGGATGAAGGAGTAAAATTCACTAAAGGATATACCTCTGATGTAGAAGAATTCAACAAAGTCCAATACTTTCGTTCTTGTTTGAGAAATAAGCATGACTCTGTGAGTTCCTTCAACACTGGAAAGCTTAACCTTGAAGAAAGAATACTTGCATTCATAGTGGCCTGGCAGCTTACTCCTAGGGGGAGCAATCATGCAGTACTGAATGAAGGAGACTTGGTACTGATGTATTGTATCCACCACAGAATTAGAGTAAACTGAGTATTTGTCATCAAGGACCATATGATCAAAGCAAAAATGCTAAGTGATTTTAGGTATCCCTATGCAATCTTAATTTCTAAATTTCTAACTCATTTTGGTGTTGACTTAGAAGGAGAATTGGCTGAAATCGTTCGCCCCACAAATGAGATTAACAACTCCATCCTTCATAAAATGGGATTCATTAAGATTGATGGTGATTGGATTTCAAAAGAAGAAGCTGGGAGAGAAGAAGGAGAAGAAGAAGAAGAAGAGGAAGATGATGAGAATACTGGTGCTCCAAGTGCTGCTGAAGCAAGACAAATAGACCCTATGGAAGATGACATGGCTCAGCAGTCTCCATTGGAAATGATTCCTTATGTGGCACAACCTGACCGTGACACGCCTCTTTCACAGTTCGAATGGAATATGTTGCATCAAATGACTGAAATGCAAACAAATCAAAGGAGGCACATGGAGATTACATATGCTCTGCAAGCTCGCCAGCTTCGACTTTATGAAGACTCCATTGCCAGATTTCAGCACATTGATAATCAACTGGAAGATATCTTCACCAGAATTGGAGACCTCCAATTCAATTAGGGTCCCTGGGATGGTGATGAGTGAAATTTCTTATGCTTTCTTTCACTTGTGTTTTTTTGTTTGTCTTAATTTTGGGTACCTACATGGTACTTATGGCTTGTAATTGAACACTTTTTGATGAAGTCAAATAGGGGGAAAAGTATTCGCTTATACTGACACTACACACACATCACAAAATCATATGTCTCTGTTTTGTTATTGTTTCTTTTATGCAGGTGCAGTGGTTATTTGTCTCCATCAAATAGGGGGAGATTGAAGCACTTGTTGGATTTGATGAAGACATATAGAGTTTATAGAGTTTATTTTGTGGGTGTGTAGGTAGATAGGTTATAGGTTTAGAATTTAATCTCTTGATAGTTTCAGTAGATCTTGTGATAAACGCCTATAAATGTTTCATTTCATAGAATTTATCTTACTGCATAAAAATCCAATCTTTAAGCCTTGAAAGAACAAACTGAGTTTTTTAATCTGTTAAAAAGCAGTTTCAATCTGTTAAAATCACTTAAAATAGGAAATGTATATATACAGCAAAAATTTTAATTGATTGAATCGCAGAATCAACAAGTTAAAATGTTCTTAATGGTTTTTTCATATTAAAGAGTTCGCAGTATTAATCTGTTGAATTGAGAAATCAATATATTAAAATGTTCTAGTCATTTTTCATTTCAAAAGTATCTCAGAATTTTAATCTGTTGAAATCAAGTTCAATCTGTTGAAACAGAGAGATGTCATTTTTCATTTTAAAGTATCTCAGAATTTCAATTTGTTGAAATAAATTTTAATCTGTTGAAACAGAGAGATATCATTTTTCATTTTAAGGTATCTCAGAATTTCAATCTGTTGAAATATATTTTAATCTGTTGAAACAGAGAGCTACCATTTTTCTTCTAACTGTTTCAATCCATTGAAAGCTCGAATTAACCGATTGAATGAGTTTTAAATGAAATCAATTGATTGAAACATCATTTTAAATCGATTGAATCTATCAGTCCCTCTCTTTTACTCTATAAATATAGTTTTGATTTATTTTTCAAACATACAATTTGGAAAATGATTGAAAGCAATCTTGGAGCTCTCATATTCGTGTTTTTATCTGAGCATTCATAAATATTTCATATCATAAGGCGTTTTGATCAAGATTGTTGAAAGATCTTCAAGAGAGAAAGTTCTGAGTTAGAAAAATTGCTTCTGGACTTCTATATTGTAAAAGCTGCAGTCCAGGTTTATTCTTTTCATATACTTGTACGAATTCTAATTGTGTAGATTGGGTTTGAATCGCGACCGGTTACGATGAATCGGGTTTGGTTGCTCGTGAGGTTTTTCAAGAGTCTATCTTGTGGTGTTGTAAGGTAGTTCTTGGGGTAGATTGATGTATATCTACTGGTTTGTATTTTCACTTGATATTAGTGGAACTTGGCAGATTTGTCAAGAATTGGATGTAGCTCTTGGGAAGAGTGAACCAGTATAAACTCTTGTGTTGTATTTCTGCTTTTATCTCTTTTCATTTCTGGTTTATATTCTTGCTTTGTTTAAAACCAAATCTGCCTAATAAAAGATTAGATAAAGATTAATCATTCTTCCACAAAGAAAGAGTGTTTTTCGAAAAAGATTTCTAAATTTCAATTCATCCCCCCTCTTGAACTCAACCATTAATTCTTACAAATAATAGTTTTCTTCATTTTCAATATCAACTCCTTTAACACAAACTCCACAATTGACAGTTTTCTTTCCAATGCTCCATTCTTTCATATGAAACTTGAAACCATTGACAAAATAAATAGGCCATGTAAAAACCTTTTTCTGTGGACCCCATGCTATGTCATGTAAAAATTGACTTTGAACCATATTGTTCTTATCGTGAACCTAAACGAATGATAAACATAGTATGAATGAATGAGTCAATATGAGAACATAAATTATTCTTATGATTCATTCACAAAATATTTTTAAAAATTACATATTTTGAAACCATCTAGGAAAATCGGAAGCAATCCGAGCCTCAATTTCTCTTTGAGTGATGTTTGGATTCATTGCTTCTAGAAATTGTTCAAATATTCGAACATTTACACATAACATTGTGTTAGTGGTTTTATGCATGAAAAATGCATGTCAAAATGATTGTGGTGCTTACTTGATTAATGGTTGGACTTCTTCACAATTAAGTAACACATGCAAATGTGCAACTTCTAATTCTTTCTTATTTAAGTATCAACATGAAGATCTTCCACTAAAGTGATCAGGATGATTAAAAATTGTTGATACATAATCTAGTTCTACATTTTCTCCTCTATTATCATTGTGACTGACTTTATAACTCAATATTTGTACATGACTCTCAAAATAATATGAACAAAAATGAGAAGTCTCTTGCACTAGATATGCCACACATATTGAACCTTCCACACGTGCCTTGTTCTTAACCATTTTTTTTAACTTATTCAAGTACCTAATACAACACCATAATATTGTTATTATAATTTCAAGTAAGACAAGTATGCATGTTCAAATTTGATAATTAAAAAGTAGTACCTCTCAAATGGATACATCCATCGATATTGAACAGGACCTCCTACTCTTGCTTCGTAAGGCAAATGAATAGGTAAGTATTCCATTGAATTGAAGAATGCAGGTGGAAAGAATCGTTTCAATTTACATAATGTAATTGCAATGTTTTGTTCCATTAATAACAAGTCATCCACTCGCAAAATAGTTGAACATAGATCTTTGAAGAATTTACTTAACTCAGCAATTGATTCCAAATTTGATTTGACAATGCACTAAAAGCAATAGGCAATACTGCTCCATAAATATATGACAATCATGAATTTTCATTCCAATCATTTTTTCTTGCTCTATGTTTACACATCTCTGCAAGAAATATACTTTCCCCAAGTCTAAAAGTGAAATTAATAGTTTTAGTAGAAAAGTGCTTTAAGACATGGGCTAAATGAAACTGGAAAGCAAACTGAGATAAAACCAAGAGATTTTGAGAGTGCAGTACCAAATATGGATGCTCAATGCAGCAGTGAGAGAAAGACTATCTCCCTGCAAAACCCGACCCATGGTCTTGAGGAAGAAAACAAAGTTAATCATGTAATCACATAATCAAGAGTTTTGAAATCGAAAGTTCCCTCATCTGCAGTAGAAGAAGTTAAGAGGGAAGCATTGAGTGTGGGTTCTAGAATTGTACCTCAATATCAAAAGGGAAGCATGTCTAATGAGCATCCTGTCAAGGTTTTGGGCAATGGTGATTTGGTCAAGTCAATTAGAAATTATGCTAATGTTAGTAACAATGCTGCAACAAATTGTAGTTTTGGAAATTTTGTACCTCATCAGCAACCCACTATGTCAAGTCCTGTGAGAACAAATTTTAACCAAACTTCTATTGACACCCTAGAATAAGTTGCAAAATTAAAAGAAAGAGCAAATAATTATAAGAATTTTGGGTTTGCCTTTGAAAGCAATGAGACATACTTTCAAGCTGGTTTGACGTTTCTACATGGAGCATCTCTTTTAGAAAATTGTCACAATGAAATTAGCAAACATGGGGAAATGAGTCAAATGAAAATTTTTTCTACTACAGCCAAACTTTTTAAATGTTGTGCCCATGAAGATGAACCTCAGCAAGAAATGGTTGCTGCTGCTTTGGCATATAAATGCATGGAGGTAGCATACATGAGAGTGGTTTACTGTAAAAATTCCAGTATTAACAGGGATCGACATGAGTTACAATCAACTCTTCAAGTGGTTTCTCAAGGTGAATCTCCTTCATCTTCTGCATCCGATGTTGATAACCTATACAATCAGGCAGCAGCAGATAGGGCTACTTTGCTTAGGGGTACTAATACTCATGCTGCTATCAACCAAGTCATATCTGCTCGAACTCGTCCAAATTTAATCATCAAAGCCAATTTTAGGATATGTTTAGTAGAAATCCAAGGAAGCCCATGTTTAAGAAAAAGGAGCAAGAAAGATCAAACAAGATAAGAACTGCAAGTCTCTACAGCAAAAGAAGGAAGAACTACAAAGTTTAAGACAAAGAATTTCAAAGTTCACATGGCAAGAAGAATTAGTTGAGGTGCAGTCAATGTTTGCAAATCCAAAGTAAGTTATGTTACAAAAAATTTTTGTTGAAAAATATCGAAGTAAAACACTGACAATATACAAGTTCAAGTCTTCTCCACCAAAAATTGTGTCTAAGCACTGAAAAATTAGAACTAGCTGTGTAGAAAAGAAAAAACAATAAAAATAAAGTATAATAAAATAAAATAAAATAAACTGCAACATAAACTTCTTCAAGAATCCCAATCGCCAACACTAATCCAACGAAAGCCAAAACAGAGATCTTGAATCAGAATTTGAAAATGATAATAAAAATAACAATGGCATGGAAGATACCTCTTTCCCAACAAAACTGTTTACAATCGTGACCACAATAGTTGCAACTATGTTGGCACTATGGTATAACACAAATGGAATTGAGGTCGCTGGTGAAAGCAATGAGGGGAAGATTGATGGAAATGTCCCTACATTCCCAAGAGATGATTTTGATGATGATTCAAGTCAACTACATTCAAGTCAACACCATTCAAGATGAATTAAGGGCAAACTGAATTTATGACATTGGTGAAAATATGAAACATTTCCCTACATGCCCAAGATATGTTTTTGATAAAGATGATGATTCAAGCAAGCCCAAGATGATTCCTGAAGACTAGATAGAGTCTTAGAATACTGCATATGGAGGTATAAGTTGATGAAGTAATATTATGCACAAGCCTCCAAAGCACAAGTGTGATAAAATTCATAACATGATATTTTTCTCTGTCATAATGAATTATGATGCATCAGAAATGGAAAAATGATTTTCTCTATCATAATTAATTATACTGGTAATATAATCAATTATGGCAATTCAAAGTTGGAAAATATATCTGTTTTAAAGAATAAATGTTTTTGAATACATCCTGATTTTCTCTATGATATTATTAATTTCCAACGCCCATTTTCTGATGCTATTTTTCTATTTAAATAAGTTTTGATGAAAAAAAAAACACACGATTACAGAATTCGAAAATACAATTTACATTCAATCAGTTTTGAGAAAAGAATTCTGAGCAAGGCAACAGAGATATTTTACACCTTTTGAGAAAACCCTCTTCTCTACTGTCTTCTGTGCTTTCATTGTTAATCACACTTGTTCTTGGAGATTGACATTCTACAGGCTTCTACAATTTGTTGTCTCCATTACTCAGGTGTGTTTGTTCTTATTTTTATTACCTTCATCCTTTGTGTATTGGTGGCAAAGGAGGTGTTTTAATCCTTTGATTTGTTCAAAGGAGGTTTTCATCCCTAGTGTGATTCTAGGGAGGTGTTAATCCTTAGTGGGATTCTAAGGAGGTGTTTTTCATCCTTTGATTTGTTCAGAGGAGGTGTTCACCCCTAGTGGGATTCTAGGGAGGTGTTCATCCTTAGTGAGTTTCTAAGGAGGTGATTGTCTTTTTAATTAGTTTACTTTTTACTAGTTCTTCTGCTGAGTTGATTGTAATTTGTAAACTGAATTTGAAAGATAGTGAATGGGGAGTCACTCTTGTGTTAAGAGTTGACTGGGAACTGTATGTAGAGTTGGCTATACCCGAACCAGTATAAATCTTTGTGTGCTCTTGTCTTTCCCTTATCTCTTTATCTTTTCTTGATTATATTATTGTTTCCGCTTTATCTGTGTTCAAACAAATTATTGACTCACAAATAAATTTTTAATTTGACATCTATTTTAATTTGTGCATCTATTCACCCCCCTCTAGATGTCATTTGTCTTACAAGTGGTATCAGAGTTTGGTTAGATAAGATATTTCTAAACGATCTGTCAAGATGTCTATGCAGAATAAGGTTTACAGGGAAGGAGCCTCAATAAACAGACCACCATTATTTGAAGGAGGAGACTATCAGTTTTGGAAGGCGAGAATGAAAATATTTTTACAAACACTAGATTACGGTGTTTAGGATGCTGTACTCAACGGTCCCTATATTTCGATGAGAACAACGAAGTCTGGAGTAGTTGCAAAGACTTTTGATCAATGGATGCCGGATGAAAATTAGCGTGCCCAATATGATATAAGAGTCCGAAACGCTATTGTTTCTGCCTTAACTCGTAATGAATTTTTCAAGGCCTCACAATACAAGACGACAAAAGAAATATGGGACACTCTTGAAGTAACACATGAAGGAACAAATGAAGTAAAACGAGCACGTAAGAACACACTCATCCAGGAGTATGAATTATTTCAAATGTAGCAAAATGAAAGCATCACGGATTTCCAAACATGCTTCACACATATAGTAAATCACTTGAAAGCATTAGGAAAGAGTTTTGACAATGAGGAGTTGAACACAAAGATCTTGAAATACTTAGACAGGAATTGGAAACCAAAGGTCACTGCTATTATGGAATCAAAGGATCTCACAAAAATGAATATTGCTACTTTATTTGGAAAGCTGCAAGAACATGAGATGGAACTACAAAGGTTAAAGAACGGTGAACAGAATCAAACCAAGACGATAGCTCTAAAAGCAGAAAAATCTTCACAAGACGAAAGCGAAAATGAAGGTAAGTTTTCAAACTCCGATATGTCTCTTTTTGTTAAACAATTTTCTCGCTTTATGAAGAATAGGAAAAAGAGACAACAAGAAAAGGAGAAAACAAATAAATTCCATTGCTATGAATATGGAAAACCTGGTCATATCAAACCAGACTGTCTGGAACTTAAGAAAGAGAAGAAAGATGTGAAAGAGAAGAACGATACCTATAAGAGCAAACACAACACTTATATTGCTTGAGAGGATAATTATTCTTCTACAACACAAGAGAGTTCTTCTGAAAGTAGTGATGGAGAAGAAGAAGCAAATCTTTGCTTGATGACAAAAAGTGATGATGAAGCCTCATCACAGGTAAATAGTACAAAATCCTTAAATGAATATGATGAGTTGTTTAAAGAATATCAAGATATTTATGAAGGTTTTACCAAGTTATCTAAGAAATACAATGCACTTAGGCAAAAGTTTAATGCATTAGAAAATACTGTTGGTATTCTTGAAAAAAAAAAGAGTGCTTAAAGAAAGATGTTGAGAAATTTAAAACTTTGTCTAAAAATAAAGAAGTTGTTAAACCTTGTGAAAATTGTAATCTTTTGGAAAATGAGATTTTCAAGTTAGAGAAAATAATAAGCAAGTTTTCAAAATCTTCTGAAAATCTTGATTCTATATTAGGTTATCAAAGAGGAAATTCTAGCAAAGTTGGACTTGGTTACAAACCCAAAGAAAGTCTAGAACCTCATAAAAATATTTTTGTGAAAGAGTCAAGGAAAACAGATGTGAAACCAGTTTCAAAAACTTTAAGAAACGCATTTAGACCTTTTCAAAGAAAACCAAAATGTTTTTATTGCATGAAATTAGGTCATACATCAAATATATGTTACATAAAACATTTTGGCATATCTAATGGCAAATATGAATGGGTGCCTAAAGGAACAAAGCATTTATACATGTCTAGATGATAATTTGAGCATCTAATTGATTATCAGAATCAGAATTTTTTTTCTTGTTGTCATAATCAATTATGTTGAAAGTTTGAATTTATGAAAATTTGAAATTATTAAAGTTTGAAATTTTGCAGTTTGAGATTCTTGAAACTTGAAATTTTGCAATTTGAGATTTTTGAAATTTGAAATTCTGCAGTTTGAGATTTTTTTAAAAAATTTTGCAGTTTGAGATTTTTTTTTTAATTTTGCAGTTTAAGATTCTTGAAATTTGAAATTTTGCAATTTGAGATTTTTGAAATTTGAAATTTTGCAGTTTGAGATTTTTTTAAAATTTTGCAATTTGAGATTCTTGAAATTTGAAATTTTACAATTTGAAATTTTACAATTTGAAATTTTTAAAATTTGAAATTTTGCAGTTTGAGATTTTTTTTTTAATTTGCAGTATGAGATTTTTGAAATTTGAAATTTTACAATTTGAAATTTTATAGTTTGAGATTTTGAAATTTGAAATTTTTGTAGTTTGAGATTTTTGAAATTGAATTTGAATTAGAATTTGAAATTTGGGATTAGAAATTTGAATTTGAAATTTGGAATTTGTTGGAATTTAAATTTGAAATTTGAAATTTGTTGCAATTTGAATTTAAATTTTGAAATCTGGAATATGAGTGCATTTGCATTTGAAAGTCTGTCTAAATAAGAAAACTCGCAATTGGGGGAAACTACTGCATTTCATTCCATTATCTCTATAATCATTTTATTCCCCTATCTTTCTCTCTCTTTATTTGTCTTGGGTATCCTAGATATTGTCTCCTTAATATGATATTCTTCTCCATGACACTTTGTAATGCATTATCTTCTCTACCTTGATTTATGTACTAATATGTGCAAATTTGTTCTCAGTTTCTATTGTAATATTTTTCATAATTATCAATGAAACATGGAGATATTTTGATGATATTAATCTGTGTGAAAAAGGGAAAAAAATTTCTTATAATATTTTTTATGATTATCAATGAAACAGGGGGAGATTTTTTGATGAATTAAAATTTGTGTGAAATTATTTCCTATCTAAATTAAACAAGGGGAGTTAAGAGAAGTCTTTGCTCATATGACTTAGGGGGAGTCTTGTTATTAATATATCCAGGCGGAGATTAAGAGACTCTGACACTTGATTCAAATCTGTGCTAATCTTGAGCTGGCTATATAGAGTCAAGCATTTTAATTCATTTCAGGTGTTTCCTTGATCATCATCAAAAAGGGGGAGATTGAAAGCAATGAGGGGGAGATTAATGGAAATGTCCCTACATTCCCAAGAGATGATTTTGATGATGATTCAAGTCAACTACGTTCAAGTCAACACCATTCAAGATTAATTAAGGACAAACTAAATTTATGATGTAGGTGAAAATGGGAAACATTTCCCTACATGCCCAAGATATGTTTTTGATA